GGAGGAGGGTCACCCTAAACCCAAGGTTTTGTTCTGCTGCTGGCAAGTGGGCGGTCCTTACCTTTAGCTCTGAGCTTCATAAAAGAAGGTAACTTGATTGGGTCTCCGCATGGTACCTCCAAACCACAAGTGCCTGAATTTCTACCCTGGTTTGTTCTAATAAGAACTAGACTGATCCCTTAATTCCTGTTTAAAGGTCCTCCCACCATGTTTTTTAAAGGCTAAGCTCTGGACAAAAGGTCATAAACACTCTTTAGCTCGGTCCAGAGCATAAGTGGATGCAGGGTAGCAACGGGCACACTGAGGCAATGGTATTATGAGTCTTGTCTGTTTCTTTGTGCTTTGTATTTTGGGGACACTCTCGTTGACCTCCTATGCTGGAAAGTCCAACTCTTGGTCTTCTCCCTGCTGTGTGCCTGGGAGGAGAGGTGGGGATGACACTGACTGCATCTTCCTTGCCCTCTGGCTTCCAGTTGGGTTTGGCCAATGAGAAGCACTGTTAGGAAATCAGAGGGCCAAAGAGATGGAGGGAGAGAGAGATTAGAGTGTTCATCCTGCAGCTCCCTCCCTCCCAGCCTGTTCTGCACTGGCTGTTTTTCTACCTATGGCCACAGCTTTGGTCAGAGGCCTTGTCTCCTATAACTCCAGCTCTCAGCTGGTGCCAACACAGCTCCCTCTCCATGGCCCTGCAAGCCTTGGGGTGGTAATAATGGCTTTCCATTGTTCTAATCCCTGAGGATGTCACCATCCCTGGTTGATTCCCTTAACCCGTTACATCTTTGTACATTTTGTTGTTGTTGTTGCTGTTTTGTGTGCTGTAGAGCTAATTCCAAATCATGATGACTTTATAGGACAGAGAAGAACTGCCCCATAGAGTTTCCAAGGCTGTAATCTTGTAACGTTTATGGGAGCAGTTCATCGGATCTTGGGCTTCAGTGGCTGATCTTTCAATTAGCAGGTGAGTGTTTAACCATTACAATGACACCACCAGGGCTCTTTCCTTTGTACCCAGTTCCTTCTTAAACTCTTAATTCCCTCTTGGGGTGTACAATCTATTTCCTGCTAGAACTCTGATATACCTTCAAGCCCCCCAAATACCCCGAAACACCACCCTCCTCTATTGTCTTTACTTCCCAACACTGCATGCAGTTGCCTCATACACCTCCCTCAGGTCCCCTGATACTCCCCTCCCCATTTGGCCGTGGTGCCCCTTCCGTTTCTCCTATTTTTCTTCGCCAGTCTCCTCTGTTTCCACCCACCCACCTACCCATTGGCCGGGTCTATGTTGATATCGTTGTTGTTGTTGTTACGTGCCATCGAGTCGGACATGACTCATAGCAACCCCTTCTTGGGTTTCCGAGGCAGTATCACTACGGAAGTAGATTGCCCAACCTTCCTTCTGAGGAGTGGCTGGTGGGTTTGAACTGCCAGACTTCTGGTTAGCAGTCAACCGCCTTAGGCACTATGCTACCAGATTCAAACCCACCAGCCACTCCTCGAAAGTAAGACTGGGCAGTCTACTTCCGTAGAGATACCGTTTTGGAAACCCAAGGAAGGGTCTCTATGAGTTGGGTTTGACTCGATGGCAGTGAGAATGTGTTACGAAGGAGCTGTGGTGATGCAGTGCCTAAGGCATTTGACTGCTAACCAGAAAGTTGGCGGTTCAAGTCCACCAATGGCTCCTTGGAAACAAGACTGGCAACCTACTTCTGTAGTGATATCACCTCGGAAACCCAAGGAGGGTTTGCTATGAGTTGGATTCCACTCGATGGCAGTGAGTTTGGTGGTTCTTTTTTAATGTGGTACAAACGGCTGATGAGTCTCACTGCTAACCGAAAGGCACCCAAAGATATCCTGGAAGAAAAGCCAGGTGATTTACTTCCCAACAATCTGCCACCGACAACTCTATGGAGCAATTCCACTCGGACACACGTGAAGTCGCCATGATTGGTCTGGCTTTTGGTATGTTACTATGGCCCTGTCTCACACGGAAGTCATCTCCTCTTTCCTGGCCAGCTCCCTACTGTAAACGGCAGTACTAGTAATAGTCGTAGCATCAGAATCTGTCTAAATTCTCGAGGGGGAATGATGAGAATCACCATCGGCACCAAAGCTCATTTCCGAGGGGTAGAGGTCAGACATCCCTCCACCCTCCGAACTTTTCACCAGTTCTGACACCAGCCATCCCTCCCACGTCACTCTCTGCTTCTCTGCTGGGTTCAATAATCCATAGCAGTGGCCACGCAGAACTCACAGACCGTGTTCACAGTTAAGTGGTTTATTAAGGAAATAACAGGGTACAACTCAGAGTCTGGTAGCATAGTGTCTAAGGCACTTGACTGCTAACCAGAAGGCTGGCGGTTCAAACCCACCAGCCACTCCTCGGAAGGAAGGTTGGGCAATCCTACTTCCGTAGTGACACTGCCTCGGAAACCCAAGGAGGGGTCGCTATAAGTCGGGGCCGACTCGACGGCACATAACAACAACAGCTCAGAGTCAGGATCAACAGGCTATGACTCAGGATCATGAAGCTCATGAGCGGAGTCTTCCTTGTTTCGTGTAGGACAGCTCTCTCAGCTCCTCTTGGGTGCGCAGGCCTCTCTTGGGGCCCTGAGGACGGGCCTCCTCTTGGCCCTGCCATGCGTTACCACTGACTGTGCTGCAGGGCCCTTCTGGGCCGGTTGCTGGCCTCAGTGTTACAACCCCTGACCTGTGTCACAGCTCTTTTAGGAGGCTCCTGGTTTCCCTTCTGCTTCTCTCTCCTCCCCCTTGCCTTTTTCCTCTTCCGCTTCTGCTTGCTTCCTGTCTGCCTGCTTCTTTCTGTCTCTGAAACCCCTGTGGAGTTGGCTGCTTACCCCACCAGGGCCAGGAACTGACCAATCGCCCTTCAGTAGGCCACAGATACTTCATTTGCATAGTTTACAGTCACTTCATTGTAGCCTCTTTTGAACCGGTCCCTGAAAGGTGCATATTAGTCACAGGACAGGCTGCAGCACAGGACCAGACAAAATGTATCAAACCATGCTTGCATACAGCTTACCTAAAAAACCCCCTGGTGAAGCCATGCCCACTCATAATGACCCTACAGGACAGTAGAACCATTTGGTTTCCAAGGCTGTAAATCTTTACAGAAGCAGACTGCCTCATCTTTCTCCCATTCAAACCACCGACCTTTTAGTAAGCAGCCGAATGCTTTATACTGCACCACCATAACTCCTTACAGCTTACCCAGGAAATGTTCATCAACCTGGGCAGAAGTAACAAACCCTCTGGGACAGAATACCAGGACAAAGGTAAACTCTTCAGAGTTTAGGGAAAAATCTCTCCAACCGTTTTTCCAAAGAACCAAGGCAAAGGCCACATATCAAACTAAATCAAACGCACTGCCATTGAATTGATTCCGACTCTTAGCGATTCCCATTGGGTTTCCCAGGCGGTAAATATTTACGGAAGTAGATTGCCCAGGCTTCCTTCCGCGGAGTGGCTGGTGGGTTTGAACTGCCAACTTTGTGGTTACTAGTCAAATGCCTTAGGCACTGCGCCGCCAGAGCTCCTTAGGCCACATATGGAAACCCATTTCACCACATCTACTGTGTTCCTCTTCTCAGCTAATTTCATCTCCAACTTCTGAAACACAAAGGCTTGAAAACAGTGACATCTATCCTCGCCCTCAAAACAAAAACCAAACTCACTGCCTTCCAGTCAATTCAACTCATAGTGACCCCTCTTTGGGTTTCTGAGGCAGTATCACTACAGAAGTAGATTGTCCAATCTTCCTCCAGAGGAGTGAGTGGCTGGTGGGTTTGAACCGCCAGCCTTCTGGTTAGCAGGTCAAATGCCTTAGGCACTACACCACTAGGGCCTGCAAATGTCCACTCTTTTTTCACTTTTCTATTGAATGTGAATTTCTATCAAAAGCTGTAAATAATTGTTTTAAAAAATACACACGCAAGTCATCAAAAAGTTTAATGTTTAAAGGTACTTTGAGTTTCAAATTAAAAAAAAAAAATTGGAATTTCATGGAAAACTTGTAACTTTCTTTTAGCCTCTGGGCAAAGGGTAAAAGGTACCGCCGGTACCTTACGCCTTCCGCACAGGATGGGGGGGCGGGGGCAGAGTCGTGACTAAATACTAAGTGTTTAAAGGGATTTCAATCCGCAAATAAGTTCTGTCCGGTCCAGATGATGAGGGGTTTGTAAAGAATGTGCCGGGAGGTTGCCTGACCCAGCCCCGCGCTCCTAGACCTTGGTTTGCCATCATTGCAAAGGGGATGGGCAGGGACTCAGGAATGAGAAAGGAAGCAGAGCGAGCAGATTGCGAGCTGGGTGGGGGCCGCCACCCACGGCGGCCGGGTCTGGCCTGGCGCTGACCTTTTCAGCCAGAGCCGGGCTCCCACCGACGAGCTGATGCATCGCTGGCTCCCGGATCCCAGGGCCGAAAGCAGTAAACAGGCTATTCCCAGGCGGGCCCGGATTCCCGGGGGGCGGGGTGGGGTGGGGTGTCTCCTCTGCTAGCGTGACCCTCGCCCACAACCCCAGGATCAGGTTGCGCCGCCAACAGCAGGAGAGAGAAGTGCCTCCGGAGGCGCTTTCCTGCGGAAAAGTGCGCTCAGGGCTCGGAGGGAGGCGGCGAGACTGCGGAGGGGGAGGGGAGAGAAGGGAGGGCGGTGCACCCCGGGCGTCGGGGGAGGGGCGTACAAGGGCAGGTCGGGGCAGCCCGCTCAGGCCCCGCCCCCTAACGCCCCGCCCCCTACCGCCCCGCCCTCGCCGAGATTGGCGGGCCCGCGATGATGGACAGGTCTGCGGGCCGGTCACAGAGCGGGTCTCGCGGTCTCGAGGGGCTCCAGGGGCGGGGGCGGGTGGGGAAGCCTCTTAGTGAGGGGGCGGAGCCCCGGGAAAAGTAGCAGCGCTCCCAGCCAATGGGAGTCGGCGGCCGTCCCGTTAGTGCCGGATCCCAGCGGAGAGGGCGGGGCGGGAGGCTCCGTGGAGATCCCAGGGTGGCCGAGGGTCCCTGACTCGGCTCGGCGCGGCAATATGGATCGGATGGCCAGCTCCATGAAGCAGGTGCCCAACCCACTGCCCAAGGTGCTGAGCCGGCGCGGGGTCGGCGCGGGGCTGGAGGCGGCGGAGCGAGAGAGCTTCGAGCGGAACCAGGTGAGGACCAGTGGACCCCCAGGGCTTGGCCGGGGCACCCCAAGAGACACAGTGCCCGGGATGGGGCTTTGAAGGTAGGAGGCATCTTGCCGACGCAGGACAGGACTTGTCCAGGGAGCCGCGAGGGGTTGGCATCTGGTGCAGAGATCAGGGTGATCCCAGGAGATCGGGGACCCTGGGACATCCCAACCGACCCGGGGTTTGGAAGGGCAGGAGGGCCGGAGCCCGGCCCCACGGAGCGTGGTGGCCCGTGCGGCACGACCGAGGGGGGCTGGACCGGGCGGGGACCGAGCAGGGTCACAAGGAGGGGAAGAACCGAAAAGGGGCCGAGGAGAAGGGTGTCCCTGGACCGGAGAAGCGCCTGGGGGGGCGCTTGGAGACTCAACGTGGAGGCGGAGAGTGGATGCACTGGGTTAGGAAATGAGGGGTGAGCACCTTCTTCTCGGTCACACTGCCATCCCCCCTTTTCCACACCCCTTCTGCTTTGAATCTCCTCAGCCCCCAGTTGTCGTCCTGGCCTGGAGGGCCAGGCTACAGGGGTCTGAGCGCTGAGAAGGAATGTGGGAAATGCCAAGTGTGGCCAGGCCTGGAAAATGACTTGGGGCTGCAGGAAAGAGGGGTCAGTCTCAGGGATCAGGGCGCCTGGCAGGACAGACAGCCCACCGCTGGTTGGGATGAGCTTCCCGAGGGGGCTCAGAGCCCTGACTTGGGGTTTTGGTTTCATCACACTGAAATGTGTGTGACAGCCAGTAGGCAGCCTGCCCCATCTGTCCAGCCTGACCAGGACCGGGGGGCCAGAATTTCGGAGTGTCATCACCGAAAAGCCACAATCCATTTTACCGCACAGTTTTAATGTTTGAAGTATTGATTTGACTGAAAAAAGCTGACATACTGATGCTGTTCTTAGTTCACGTGTGTGTAAAATCCATTCTCACTTCTTTTAATCCGGATGCCAAGGTTATCAGCAGCTTCAGTTTACAGGAGTGGAACTTTTGAAGATCCCTTTGGACCCTCCCTGCCGGAGGCTGGTCCCCTGCTGTGTTCCATGTGTCATTATTTCCCCCACATACTGTACAGTACAATGTTAGGAAAAGAGCTTTGGGCATTTTAGATCGAAAAGCGCTGATTAGAATGATCTATATGTGTGTTCTTGTGACAAATCAAACTCTCCACTCCTGGGCACTTCTTCCTCTTGTCATTCCCAGCCCCCCTGTGTCCCTGTGTGTCCAGATGGGGCGAAGTCGGGAGGCCTGCCTCCCTGCGTCATCCTGTCCCAGAGGGCAAGGGAGAGATGGCTACTGACTTCTGCCTCCCCGAGTCCGCCTGGGTTTGTGGCTTGTTCTCTGGCCTTGTGGAAAGAAGGAAGTTTTCTGTCTGTCTGACCAGGCAGTATCAGGGTTGGGGGTTGCTTCAGCTAGCTGCCTGGTGACATGAGGCTTCTGGTCCCAGGAAACAGTAGATTTTCTTTATTTTTATGTTTTTCTTAAATGAAACAGAAAAGAAATAGGTGTAATTTGATCTTCACTCATCCCTTCTGGAGTTTCAGATAAGTAAAAAGTGGAGCAGTTGAGAAATATTCGGAAGTCTTTGACCCACTATGGTGATGGAAATTAGGTTTGTGAAAAAGTTTTCACCGTGTGGTTGTTCACTGGCTGTCCAGAGACAACCTGACAAGGAGAGAGTCTAGGTCAGTTCTTTCTGGTTATTTTACATTCTGTGGAACACTTGTAATTGTCTAAATTTGATGTAATGGCATGTATTGTGTGTGTGTGTGAGAGAGAGACAGAGACAGAGAGACAGAGACAGAGAGACAGACAAAGAGACATGGAGAGAGATGGGGAGGTGGACTGGAGGAGGAAACTATTTTGTATCATTGAAACTTTATTGATAAAGTGAAGAAAAAGAAAACAGTCATAAAAGTTAGCATTAGTCAGTCTGCGAAAAATTTATTTTGATTGATGACTACCTATCAAAAGCATTATGAGATGTAAAAATGAGGGAAAAAAATTTTACAAAAATGGGTTAAGAGACCATGAGAATCAGCCAAGTTTTAATAATAATTGTAACTGTTGTTTGAAATAGAGCTAAGTACTTAATTGTATGACTTTATTTAATCTTGGCAAGAACTTAGGTGGTGGGTATTAGCCACACTTTACCGCAGAGGCACAGAGAGGTTAAATAACTTGTCCAAGGTCACACAGTTGGATGTGGTCCCCTTCTGTAATCACTGCTTGATGCCACCTGCGAGTATTGGGAAGAGCAATGGTGTTGGAGCCAAAAGACAAGGATTTGAGTTTATACCCAGTCGTGTATGTTGGTGTTAGGGCCTCAGGCACATTGCCTGACCTTTCGAGACCTCAGTGTCCTTATTGTAAAGTAAAGATAATATTCACCTCACAGTTTTACTGTGGAGATTAAATAATCTGTGAGAAGCATTTTGTAAACTGTGGAGTGTTATTCACATGTGGATATGTTGTTGTTACAGTCTGACTGGGGACATGCGATTTAAGAGAGCAGAAGTAACAGGACAGTGACTAACTCTTCAATATCGGGGAAGACGTGGGGTAGGTAATAAAGAACCACTGAGATGGATAGTTATGAGGACTGAGGGTAAGGTGCATACGGACAGGAGTGGGAACGGGCTGGGAACCCTCACTGAGGACTGAACCCTTCAGCGTGAGTTAGCACCTGTCTGGGTGGAGAGGAGGGGACTGGTGCATATCCAGGAACGGGAACCATCTACAGGGAGAGAAACATGGGGGGGGTGTTGACCAAAGAGGGGCCACAATTGGCTGCTTCTGCCTCTAGGCTCCCCCAGCACGTTTTGCAAACCTCTCCTAGTGCTTCTTGCTTTGTGCTGACGTCATTTCTGTCAACTGTGAGCTGCTTGAGGGCAGAACTGTGTCTCGCTGTTGCCTGTTTTCTCAGATACTCAGGCGTGTGGTGATACATGGTGAACTGGCTGTGGTGGAGGTAGAAAGTGAGCGTGGGTACCACCAGCAGGGAAGGCCCTCACCATGGGGTCCAGCTGTGATGGGTCAGCTGGACCACAGAAGCCCTCTGGAATCGCTTGACTTCTTCCACTTCCTTCAGGAAACAGGCCCGGGATCCCCCTGGTCCCGCCTGGACCCCCACACACTCAGTCAGGCGCACTGTCCCCATGCCCATCAAAGGAGTCTGACTTCTGCTTGCTTTTCTTCTGGTCAGGCCAGGGTCCGAGTTGCCTGACTTTCTGATCTGCCTTGCCATCCTCTTCCAGGGATGTTTTTTGTCTCCAGCTGTCTGTCATAGTCACCGTGCTTCACAGGCCAGTGTCTGCTGCAGTAAGGACCCTTGACCCACCTGCTGGGCCAGCCACTGCCAAAGCCCGCGTCTACAGCTAGACCCTGGGTGTATCCCCCACCAACCTTATGTACCCAACTCATCACAAGCAGTAGCTTTAGGAGAGTGAAAAGTAATTCTTGCCCTAAAAAAATCCGGGGCCCCACTGTAATAACGGTACCTTGTCCAGAGTACTTTTCAGTTCATAGATAGGTAGATAGCTAGAGAGGAGCCCTGGTGGTACTGCTAACTGAAGGTTGGCAGTTTGAACCCACAAGCTGCTCTGTAGGAGAAGGATGTGGCATCCTGCTTCTGTGAAGATTTACCACCTTGGAAACTCTATGGGGGCAGTTCTCCCTTGTCCTATGATGTTACTATGAGTTGGAATCAACTTGACAGCAGGGCGTTTGGGTTTGGGGTTGATAGATACACACATACACTGGTAGACGGCTGCTGTGTAGTCAATTCCAACTTGTGGCCACCCTAATGGACCACAGAATCAAACGTGCCATCCTGTGTCATTCTCACAGTCACCGTCATGTCACTAGTCCATCACTGTAGCTGTTATGCTAGTCCATCTCACTGAGAGGCTCTCTTACTTCATCAAACGTGATGTCTTCCTCCAGCAGTTGAGCCCTCCGGATGACGTGTCCAAAGCAAGTGAGTCAGACAGTGTTCTGTTGTGAACCATAGGTTTTCACTGGCAAATTTTCAGAACTAGATCACCAGGTCTTTCTTCCTAGTCTTTCTTAGCCTGGAAGCTCTGCTAAAACCTGTCCATCACGGGTGATCCAGCTGGTATTTGAAATACTGGATGACAAACTGACAGAGGGCTGGTGGTTTCCATGCGTAAAGCATGTTTGAAGCTTTCATTGGGCTGGACGGCTGTTAAGGACTATCCTCCGTGTTTCATGGGTGAGGGCTCTGAGGTTCAGAGAGCTTGGTGACTTGCCAAGGGTGGAGATTCAAACCCAGTTCTCCAGGTTCCAAGTCACAGGCCCATCACACGGTGTCCCCATCAGCCAAGATGGTGATTCTGGAATGGACCAGGAGGGCTGCCACACGCTGAAAGACTCAGTACCCGTCTGCGTTTACTTAGCAGGGCAATGGTTTTCTCTGTGGTTTGTTATTCTTTGAGTGCCCATTTGCTGAGCACATACTGTGGAGGGCACACGGAGATGAGAAGATGAAGGGCCCAGCTCTAGAGGAGCCTGTGAGTCAGCAGGGGAGGTGGAGTGGCTGCCATGGGCTCCTCTGCCAGCCTGGCTCTCCCGCGTGGGCAGGGGACCAGCAGCATGGGAGCCGTTGGAAGTTCAGAGGTTCAGGCTCCACCCAAGACTCCGCAGTGGGGTCTGTACATCCATATAAATGCCTTGGGCACTGCACTACCAGAGCTCCTTGAAGGATTCTGGGAACATGTAAATAAGTTATATCAGTTACCTCACTTAATAACTCAGGCTCAGAAAGGCTAAGTAGCTTGGGCAGTACTTCTCTACAGCAGGCAAACACTAGATTTAGAGAGAGGATGGGGTCTATGGGAACAAACCCTTACAGTACACCGTGGAGTGAAGGATCTTTTTTTTTAATTTTTATTGCGATTTGGGTGAAAGTTTACAGAGCAAATTCATTTTCTATACAGCAGTTCACATACACTTTGTCTTATGACATTGACTGTCATT